GTAATGGCGGGAAAAGATGATGTGGTAACTGATACTGATATGGTGAAACCTCACTACTGTTGGGGGGGTAGAGGAGGGGGGCGAACACTGAAAAAAATCGACTTTGCTTTGAAAATGTTTCAAGTTAGGCTGACTGGTTCCTGAATTCTACCACTGTTATGTCCACTCTAGATAGGGGGCGCGGCATCATCACTCCACGACTTCAATCAGCAGCACCCCCGCAACCTGTTACAAGGCGGCAGAAGGGGACCTCACCTCTGCACAAAGCCCTCCAGCAAGCTGTGAAGAACGTGGCTGCGGTATCTCATGAGGCGCTTGTCCTGGGGGGTGCTGTCCATACACTGTCCGTTCAGGATCGGCCGCTCGAACATGTTGCTGAATTCCTGCCGCGTGCCCAGAAAATCCGGCCGCACAAAGTCCACCATGCACCAGTACTCAATGAGATTGTTCTGCAGCGGATAACCCGTTAGCACCACCCGCCGCCGCGTGCGGATGTTCTTCAAGGCTTGGGAGGTGCTGGCGTGACAGTTCTTTATCCGGTGACCTTCATCGCAGATGACCACGTCCGGGCCGGGCCTGGACAGAGCCTTCTCTATCCCTGCGGTACAGAAGAGAGTAAAGGATTACCGATAGCGTTCCGCAGCGCTCGGTGCTCCCATGTTAAAGAGGACCAACTCGGAAAGTGAAGATTTGCTTTCTTATCGGGAACATCGTGTTATGTTAATGGGGCCGAAGCCGCACCCCGAAAGATCTGCCTATGGACCTATATCATCGCACTTCCTGTGCCCGGCCTATTCCGCTCTGCAGCCTCGTAGCAGTATATCTGCAGTGTGAGATCATCTAAGGTTCTGCTGACTCTGGCTGCTATTATAACCAGATTTGGTGATGTCACTCCCGTGCTGCTCACTGTTCTCCTTGCTGGAGAGGAAGCTGTACAGGGTGATTTCCTCTCAGCCTCATAATCTGAGCCGACGTATGACAATGAAACTGTCACAGGTCGGCTCAGTAGATCGGGAGGTGAGCGAACACATACCGGCGCTCGCTCACTTCTCGATCTATCCGTGCAGAGAGCCATGACCGGGAAGGAGCTGGATTCCCCCCTCCCCGATCCTCCAGCGCTGGCTGGGGGGAGGGGTCGGGTACAGCTGGCTCTGCCTCTCGATAGGCAGAGCCAGCTGTCAATCACGTAGCTGGGCGGATCCAGACATAATTGTCGGTAGCCGTCCCGGCTGCGGCGTCTCAGCATACCGCGAGCTGTAGCTCCCTATATACTGAGCCTAGGGTGACAGGAGGACGCTAGTTTGTCTCCTCCCGTTACCCTGAGGAGAGCTATGGGGAAAAGCCCCGACCTCATAGTTCTCCTTTAAGGACCTGCAGTGCAAGTATCTCCCTGCTTCAGCTTCATTCTGTGGATCTGTGCTTCCTCCACCTCTATCACTACCCCAGCAGTCATTGGGGATACGCCTCTGACATGGGGAAGCAAAGCCCTGCTCCTCTACCAAGATGGCAGCCTCCACAGATGGCAGAACAAGGTATGGCAAGTCAGTAATAGGAAACTGATCAGTGGCAGGGAGACCACAGGCAATACCGGTGACTAGTTCTTGGTCCTCTGCCGGCCTTTTTGAGGGAGAAGGAGGTGAGCAGTGGCGTAACAATCGCCATAGCGACCCAGGCGGCCGTTATGGGGCCCGGGCACAGGGGGGCCCGGCCAGGGCATCCCTCTGATGCCGTGTGGGTCGCTATGGCATGTAAGGGTGCTGGCTGTCACTGACACAGCTCAGCAGCGGCGTTTCCCCTCTTTGCCGCTGCGGAGCTGTGTCAGTGACGGCCAGCGTTCATAGTGAAGGAGGCGGGGCCTGCCTAAGAGCAACCCCGCCTCCTCTTACATCACTGGCCTGCGAACTAAGAGCAGGTGGGGCCAGTGATGTAAGAGTAGGCGGGGCCCGTCGATAGAAGAGGAGGCGGGGGACGGAAGAGGAGGCGGGGCCCCGGCGACCACGGAGGCGGACAGCGCTGACAGGCAAGAGGTGTGCAGCCCATCTGAGACACTGCAGAGCCCACTATAGAGAGTCTATGGCGGGCTCTGCAGGGTCACTCTCAGGTGGGCTGTTTGGTATATCAGGTGGGCTCCGCAAGTGGCATAACTAGCAATCACGGGGCCCCATACAAAATTTTGCTACGGGGCCCTGAGATTTCTAGTTACGCCCCTG